ACTAAAAGTACATTTCCCTTTTATATGTAGCACAGCAGAAGTGTAAACTCAAATCAGACAGAATTTCTTCAGAAGCAGGTATGTGTGTGCCGAATATGAGGAGATCATTTCACTTAAAAAACCCAACAGAAGTCTGAAGCCCTGAGCATTTTTAAAAAACGGGGCCATCGGAAAAAATCCATCTACACCCTGCCAAAACTCAATAAAGGTATTTTGTACACTGCTGAATCTGTAACTCATCACAGCCACACTCCAAGAGGTTTCTCTCTCGTCAGTACGTGCTAGAGTCATGGTTTGGTTTACACACCTACCATCACGTCCCTCCACCACTCCAGGTCACCGCTGCAGTCTCAGCTTACACTGCTGTAGGGAACCCAATATGTGCCATCCTCCTAAAGTCACCTGACTGAAACAGCACATCGTGCTCTGTGAGCACTGTTTCCAAATAAATTCCATGCTTCTTATAAGGAGAAAAAGTAAAAATACACCCTTGACATTATAATCTGGACCTCACAGCCCAGACACTATAGCAGACACAGATGCTTGCACTGTATTTATTATGTTATGTAAACTCCAAAGTAGTTTCATTCTATGCATGTTATGCAATTAATAACACATGACATAAATACTGCAATAATGACAGTTTAGCTTAGCAGATCCTAATATGGAGTATACTCTACTGTTGTTGTTTCTGTTATAGTTGTTGTCATGTGAGATATTAGTCACCTACATGTTTGTCCTGTGACCCTTTACTGTCATCCTTAAAGAAATCTTTTACCTCTAAATGCTGTACACTTAAAGTAAACAACATTTCAAGAGTGCCCGTTAATGCCTTATCTACCAGTACCAATGAAATTTCTGCCAAGCTCAAGTGAGATCAGATAAAAATGTATTTATAGCTGTGCACTATGCTTGGGAATGTTAGTCTCACCATTGAAACATGTACACTAATAATGTGTATGTGGTCCTTTATTTACTATGTCATCTTAAGTTGGATGTCAGCTGTTAAATACAAAATAAACACCAGGAAACACAAGTCAAACTTTAAAAAACTGTTCACATGTGCCAAACACTAAGCATTATTGTCAGTATCAGTATATTTAAAAGAAGGAATAATATATCCAGAAGCAAAAAGGTAGAATAGTAATTACAATAAATACACAAATATTGATGCTGGATGGGTATTAATGATATAATTCTTAGAAAAAGAAATAAAAGTGTATTTCTGGGCAGTAAATACTGCATACTTTAGTCCTATATCTTTTTAACCTGCATAAATAAATGATTACAACAGACAGTTTGTGCTGTTTCTGCTGGATAGTCAGAGGTGACACCAGATATTTAAAGGTCAGACATAAAAGTAATGCCCTTGGTCAGATCTGATTTGTTAAATAGAGCTAATCCCAGAGGGAAAATGATGTCAAAAGAAACCCAAAGGAACACTGTATTTCAACAGTAATTTGCAGAGTGACCAGAGGTGGGGATGATGCAGTACAGTGAGCACTAATGAAGTGAATTAAACATGAACTCCTGCTTCCCTGTTCATCTCAATTAAACCCCCCCTGGATCTCTTAATCCCTAGTTTTACAGTAAAGCCTCATTATGCCCCATTAATACATGGCTGACAGTTACATTATAAGACATACTGAAGAGAAGTAGTCACGCAGATGAAAGTTAATCTACTGGACTGTCTTAAGGACAGCAGGAACTGGCAATTGCCTGAAAGGCTGAGGACGTAGAGGAATCAATCGGGTGCAATTAAGTCTGTACAATGTGAGGCTGCTTTTTGGCACTGGATTCCCAATCAAAATACCTGCTGTTATGTTAAGGCTGTCAGGAATTTGACATTTTAAAGGGCCTCTCATTTAAACCAGAGCAGCCATATACTTGTTCCCAAACAGCATTGCATTCTTTGTAGAGAGAAATAAAAAAGCTGGGGAGACACTTCAGTTCAAAACAAACCTGTCATTCAGGATTTTTCTCTCTAGATGATGACGATGGCAGGAAAACCAACATATTTCATGTGCTTTAGTTGCCGGCTTAACCAAAATTTGATTTAAGATAAGAGTAAAACGGAATCAAGATTTTAAAAAAAGGAGATAAAATAAAATGAAGTTGTGTAAGTTGGAACTACAAACCACAAATTCATAATCAATGACAAAGTCCAATGTGCGAAATCAACAGGACCACACCTAGTACTTATAACTCTTTCCACAGTTGGTCATTTCTGTAAACAGTCCAACGCAATGCTAAGCCAGGCATGAAAATCCTGAGCACGAGCTATCGATAAGCCCACATGTGCACAACTACAGTGCTGGAAGTAACAAATCGCAAAGTTGACGTGAAAAGCGCCTGTGAGGAGAAAGCTCCAAGCTTCACAATCCTGGAGTTGGCAACTGGTGAGCTCCCACTCTCTCTGGAAATCTGATGTGTTCATGTCACAGTGGAAAGTGGGAACAGTGAGAACTTTTCCCATCATGTCAACTGCAACTCATCCAGCTGATAGGCCACAATAGCACGAAGCAAGCAGTGGGAAAAAAGCATGAAGATATGAACAAACAGCTAAGGAAACATTTTCTGACCACCATGTCAGACTGAGCTGCCCTGGTGCAGCTCCACTGGGTTTAAATGGCCTTATATCAATGAGAAAGTAGGAGGGGGAAGAAGATTGAAGTCCTTTGCCTACGTGCCTCACAGTGTTGCATGCAAACGGTGACCAAAAAGCCACACGAAGACAGAGACAAGGTTATCAGGCGGCAGATAAGTCCGGCTTACTTCCTGAACAATGAGCATCACAGTCTATAACGAAGACTGAGTGATACCTTTAGATTGTCTAATCACCAGTCTGAAATCCAAAAACATGAGCTGATAATTGATTAGGCAATTAGTAGATACTGACAATATTTAGAGTTTATCACTCATGTCACCAATCTGGACAAGTTGAGCAAAAGTACCCAAAATGTGCTTGTTAGTTTTTTGCTTTTAATCAGTGTATACTGATGATGGAGCAAGTCTGAAATCATTATGTGACTGTCTGAGAACAAATCTTGCATGTTTAGTCCTTTTTATCCAAAAAGCAATGAATTGATACCTACACAATAACATTTATTTGAGACACTTTTTAAAATTTGACAGGTTGTAAAAAATGAAACTGTACAACAGTATGATAATTAGTGAGAGAAAAAAATTCACACATCTGGATACATGAATAATAATATGTAAATTATATGTAATATTCAGCTGACAGGATTGTTGATTACACAGTTGTTGCTTGACTTTATATTACATGTTAGATTTTTATTTTTATTCCATTAATATCGTTATTATTATTATAGCCTCAAGTATCTTGATGCATTCTCAATCATCCAGGAAAGTAAATCTCCAAAAAGTTGATTCTGTTCATCTGGACGTAGTGTTTTGTGGGAGAAACGTTTCGTCACTCATCCAAGTGACTTAAGTGACCTCCCAGCCCATTGTTCCTTCAGTGGGCTGGTTTCGGCCATTATGTAAATGTACTGTTTATAAGATTTGGGGAAACCTGCAGTCAGCTGAGCCTGAAGAAGTCACTTGGATGAGTGACGAAACGTTTCTCCCACAAAACGCTACGTCCAGATGAACAGAATCAACTTTTTGGAGATAGCCTCAAGTAGCAACAGCTAAATTGATTCAAGACCTAAAACACATGGCATATTGACATGAATTATTTTTTGCTTTGAGATTATTTTGCTATCACTTTTTCTGCTGTAAACGTTTTAATGTATAATGTCCATGTATGTGTATATATGTATTTCAAGTAGGCTTTTTACAGGAATAGACTCCCTAAGCTAGAGACTGCAGTGACAAATAGTGCATGACAACTGCACACACACGTATGGAAGGCTGACACATGGCAGTGCCTCTCCTCTTGTTTCAAGGAAGAATTCAATCATAAAAAATCCCCTATTAAAATTATGGCATCAAATACTGAATCATAATCCACATTTTGTGCAGGTACCTAAAGAAATGCTTTATATTAAATATTAATCAACTTTGACTTTAAGTTCAGGAACAATATCATGATATTGATATTTGTAGTAAAACAAAGTTGTTTCCTGGGGTGTAAGACACTGCCAAGCCTTTACTTTGGAATGCTTTTTGCTTTGTTCCTGTTGGAAAGTTTTGCAGTATAGTGTTACGTGGATTGGGGTTTTTCCTCCAATCTACAAAAACGGACACAACCCGGGGAACTTTTGACCTTCCACTAAAGGAAAATTACCAGAAGCATGATTTTTTTTTTTCAGCTCTTTCACAAGTGTATAATTTTTTTCCCATTGTCCTGTAGTTATTGGGACAGAAAGACACAATAAAAGAGTGTAAGGAGAGTATGATCTTCCATTTATGTTTTTTTGCATTTACAAAGTGAGGGAGTTGCAAAAGTTAAAAAGTTTCATTCAGATAAAATACCATATTTCAAATGACACCTCTTGGCACAAATATTTTAGGCCCTAACATATATATAGGGCCTAAATATATATATATATACACACACACACAAAAACACGTAATATTATATTATGATTATTTTTATTATTATTATTATTGTTATAATTATTTATTTGGTTGTTTATGTTGGCTCTAAAGTGTCACAGAAACTGGGCTGGACCCTGAATGCCCCAAAATGCCGCATGGCGATGACTAGCACAAGTGCGACGTGACGCACAACAGAGCGCGATAACCCTTAAAAGCCCCTAATTAATATTATAGTAACAACATAATAGACCATAACTAAGGTTGTGCGCAAATAACCCAATAAAAACATGAAAATGCACTTAAAAAGGTGACTTGTAGCAGTATAGCAGGTCACCCGGTTCACCCCAGAATGTAAATATTAGCTGCATCCTCGCTGACGCCACATTTAGGAGAGGCGCCCTGTGAGCGCTGAAACTCTCGTTCACGGACTGAACGAAGCTAACACAGACCGGACAGGTTTGACAAGGAGTGAACTAGTGAAGTGTAATTACCTTTCCTTGATCCATGGCAGTGCAGGGAGTTATTTCTTCTTTTTCCTCTTCTACTCCTTCTTTTTCTTCTTTGTTTCGGCTTTTCTTTTGTCGGAGCTGAATACGATGGAACAACTTCCTGGGGGTGTCCGGTGGGTTTCGTTCACAAATCAGTCATCCCCAAAAGTTTTTGTTCCGCGGAAATGACCTCAAACTTCAGTCCAGTTCTTTTTGCTTTCTTTCCTATGAAGAAATTATTCAGAGGTCTTTCTGTGATATAAAAAGAAAAAAGCCGGGGAAGCTGTGGCTGGAGACCCGCTCCCGTCGTTTGCCTTCTGCTTCTTTTTTAACTTACGAGCTTCAGCAGCTTTAATTTACAGCTTCGGTGCTGGGTAAAGTTTTCCAGGATGAATCACAAGTGTCAGTGCTGGAGTAGTGCCGCTGTCACGATGATGAAAACAGCTCTTAGGCACATGAGCCGGTTTAGTGTTCATATACAACTTGTTTCTGACGCAATAAGTTGTAGGCGTGGCGCTAATGAAGGAGGTTGGTCCTGTTTGCAGCCAATGATGGGCATCAGAGGCAGGGAGGACGCGTGGTGAGACTGCACGCACGCTGTGGTGGAGGTTGAGTTATGACTGTCGTTCTTTCTTGTTGAATTTTGTTGAACATCAAAAATGTAAGTTTCTAGTGCTAATTCTTTCAGCTGTTTTTACCAATAACTACAAAATTAATATTTTCTTTAACGTATGAAGTGCATATGAAAGGATAGATAGATAGATAGATAGATAGATAGATAGATAGATAGATAGATAGATAGTATTGTGGTATTCCCAAATAAAAATAAAATCATACAGTCTATGATAAGCAAACAAAATACTTAAAGTAAAAGTGCCATGTGCTCATAGTGCAGGCCATATATTGTGAATTTTGTATACACAACATTGGGAAAAAAAAACAACAAAGAATATAAAATAAAAATTCTGGCAGGGGCCAGTGGTATCCCTCAATCTACTAGATATGCCGATGGTATCAATTTGTCAGTTCGTTCTCACTTCGTTCTAAAGTTATCACATTTACAAGATTTTCAAAAAAGCCTGACCTTTGACAGCCTGACCCTGATGCTAGATTAGGAGACTTCCAGTTCAGTCTTGATTGTAGCTACATTTATTTTTATCTGTGGTAGTTTTTATCATAGTCCACAAAAATCTTCATAAATTGTGACTTTTTAGTGACTTATAATTTTCAGCCTTAGTTGTAGCATAGCTGATGGTTTCCAAAAGTTGATTCTGTTCATCTGGACGTAGCGTTTTGTGGGAGAAACGTTTCGTCACTCATCCAAGTGACTTCTTCAGTCTGTCAGCTGAGACTGATTTACTTTCCTGGATGATTGAGAATGCATCAAGACGTAGCTGATGGTTGCATGATGACACCCATTCAATAAAAAACAAACTTAAGTGACATCCTATGGTGTTGACCTTTGGAAACTAGAGCCAATCAAGATGTGAAATATTGTCTCTATATGTAAAAGTAAAAATGTTTTGCAGTAACTTAAAGCACCAGTTTGGCAATATTACTTATATTGGGATGATCAGATCCCCACAAACTAAA